TTCCAAGACACGCTCAAATGATGTGACAGATTTTGTTAGAAGTCTGCGTTTTCTTTCGGTCGCGTAGAAGCACGAGCCAAAGAAACTGCTTGCAATGTGCAATTAAAAAGTAATTGGAATTTCATGTGTTGCAGTTTGTTACCGACTTTAATTCCATTTAACAATTGATACATTGCGATTGTTTTAATTGATTAGGCCTCGAGAGAAGTAAAATGTCGTGCAAATTAATCGCTCATTTGACGAAGCACTTCGCTTAGCACTTCATTAACGCGAAGGATTATCCCCATCCGATAAGACATATAATCCATCCATCCTTCCTGCCAGTGAGCGACATCGTAATAAAATTCTTTTTTTTTTCTGCGTATTCGGGTGAAAGCGGGAGGTGAGACTCACAAGGGAAAGAGGAGAGAAAACAGAGAAAGAGAGAAAGTAGAGGGAGATGATTGCATCTTGTGAGATGTCCGGATGAGGAATCGCCCTTCCAGTGATTGATCCATCCCGAATTCCCACCTCTTTTAATTTCGCGATCCCCCTCCCATTCTACCTTCGTCTCCTCATCCAGCGTCTCATCTCTTTTTTAGATCCGGATCATGATCCCCGTCAGGACGAGGAAGAAATTCCGTGCCGGGAACGTTCCGGGGACCGCGAGATGACGCCTCGCGAAAATTAGATTCCGTGCCGATTGAAAAATCACTCGTCAGCCGCTTCTGGGCCCCTCAATCTCGCCCGATGTTGACAATCGCCTGGAGTCGAATATGAAAACTTGCCGCCCCGAGGAAGACTTAAATCTCCTTAGGGAGTTTCTTGCTCCTTTCCCCCTCCAGACTTCATTTTAATCCATTACAGGATGAAACCGAGCAGTGCTGCCGATCCGACGGATTTCGAAACGTCGAGACTTTCTCGTGATGGAAAGGGCTCGAGTCGTGCGGGGTAATCAAGCATTTGATGTCTCCGTCACGATCCGCCGGCCCGTTTTTCATCCGGCTATTTCTAACCCGTCTCCGTCCAGACGCTAATGAATTTTAATGCGTGGCAGATAAAATGCAGGGTTGCCGGAATGCCCGACGAAGCTGAACGTTGACGGGTTCGTTGTGGTGACCGGATTTCTCCGGGATTGAAAGTCCTTTCCCGAGACACCAAAGTTTTTATGGTCGTGAGAAAAAATGACGTCATCAGAGAGAGAAAATGGAATTTCTCGGAGTCGGAGAACCGGAATCGGGGATCCGTCGTCCGTGGCTTTCTTTGCTCAAAACGTTAATGAAGGGAAAGGCCGTATTTTCGGGTTGAGCCCTAACGAGCTGCTTAATGGCTAATCACGTTACCCCGTCCCTGAGGATTAAAGCTTAATCAAAAGAGCGTTTGTTAGCAATCAGAGGGGGAAGAGGGAAGTTTTGTCGAAAAATTTTCTCCCTCTCTACACGCCGAGGGGAGAATCCAATAAGAGAACCGTGTGCGGCATCGCTGATTCTCCACATCATCTGGAAGGAGAAACTCTCATTATAAAAGCGTTTCCAAGCCAACAAAAATAAAGCTTAGAAATCCATTCAGTCTGACGTCCTGACGCTCGGCCCGTCATATACGAGGTGTTTAAACGTAACGTATCGAGTTGCCTGTATGTTATTGTGGCCATTTCCTGTTTCTTTCAGGCTGGTGATGGAAGTGAAGCTAAATAAACTATAATGATAAACTTGATCAACGACTGCTGAAATTAAATTAGTAGATCTTTAATCTCACCGTATTCCGTTTCGCGGTAACGGCAATGAGCTATCGGGGGACGATCAAGCGTCATGCAGTTGCACTCAGCATCTGGAGAAGCGAAAGGGGAAGAGATCCAACAACTGGCACCATTAGAAGTGAAGAGGCCGACCGGAAGCTCAGAGACAGAAGAGAGAAGCTGCTGGAGTCCAAGAAGCGAGAGAGAAGGGAGAGAAGGGAGAGAAGAGAGAGAAGGGAGAGAAGGACCGTTTCCTGACTTCGTAACGTGATTTTCACCCTTTGCTTCGTCACGAAACGAATTTTCGAAAACCTAACCAATATCAAGAGTCCTGACGATCTAAAACTGGATGAAGCAGAAATTATTAAATAAGTTACATTTATCTGCCCCACATTATCCAGCTGGTAACTTCTCAAGAGGCGCTTCGGTTTTAGGGATTTTCATCATACCAGTTCTATGTACCGTTCACACGCAGCTCTTGCTGATGTTATCCATGCCTTTGTGTCTTATCGCTTCCGGCTCATTTCGTTGGCAAGCTTGAGGCAATTTCATTTTGCATGCTTTCATGTCGCCGTGTGACTTGATGATAATTCGCTTCCTATCGTTTAATCTGTTCCTTCAGAGCATTTAAAAAATCTTAGCCTCACGTGGAAATTTCAAGCTGAATATTGCACTGTTGTTTAATTTCTCCGAGAATATTCGCTTAAATATGTGACTGCTTGCCTTTCTTGTTCGCTCTTTTCTTTTATCAATTTTGTTTGTCTTCCAGGAAGCTGAGTTGGGGAAAAAAACAAAACTGGTAATCAAATCATTCCCAAATGAGACCCTTTCCAGGCATCCTCAATCTCCACTTATTTTTTTTGCGATTCCATATTCTACACCTGGACTCATTGCAGCCGTGTTCGAGAATGACCCAAGGCCGATCAAGCGTTGCCAAGAAGGAAAAGAAGAAACGACGAGAAACTGGAAATCGTATCGAGATGAACTGCGAGCGGAGCGTTACGTGTCCTTCCATTTCCGGCCAATCAGCGGTGAGTGAGGAAGAAAACTTTTGGCCCGTCCAGTGATGTCGGATCGATCCGCAGGGGTTTGGTCAGTGATGCATCATGATTCCTCTCCTCGTCCCCCCCTTTTTTCCGCTTCTCGTCCCTGTCTGTCGTCGGGGGAATTACGGTCCTTGTTTGCTCCTGCAAAGGGATCTAACACGATTTCCTAATTGAACGACGTTGACACCAGATCCGAGAGAAAACTAACCAGATTATCCGACATCCCTGGGGCCTCCCATCTAATCCCATTATATCTTCCTTTTTTCTTTATTTTTTCTCCAGATATTTCCCGATTCTTGGCGTTTTTGCAAAAATGGATCCACATGATAACTCCGCTTTACCCTTTTATTCCATTTAGTTCCATTCCCGAGCTTGTGTTTCCAGATAATGGAATCATCCCACTGCAAATTTAATTTCGAAATTGCTCTCGAATAGTCCTTGCAAAATTCATGCCAACCGTATATCTCGGATAGTAATAAGGGAGCGATGCCGATGGGACCTCCTCATCTTTCCGCCTTGATGGCTCAGCCATGGCTTACGCTCATTCGGAGTGTAAGCCCTCGGATTCCTGTCTTGCCAACTACGGCACAAGCTGAGAAATCCCATCGCGCTAATGGTTCCCGTCTAGGCCGATTACGCCCTTGTCAACCCGACGCGGTTGCCAGATCCTTCATTTCAATATCTCTTCGTTCTCATCATCGTTTTCCCCCTCTTTTTGTCTCGAATAAACAGTATTAGCGGAGAACTGATAGCTCGCGAAATCCGAACATTTGATGTGCGACGGAAGAGGGGCGTAGGGGGAGAGATGATGAGATTGAGGAGGAGGAAGAGATTTTTGGCAGCCGTGGTCGGGGCGCAATTTCATGGATCCCAATCAGTGTAATGGAGGTGGAAGTCTTTGGTCAATCTGATCTCCGATGATGTCCCTCTGCTACCCCCATTGATTCTTGCTTCCAGGCCCATATTCTTCCTTCCTTCCTTCCTTCCTTCCTTCCTTCTTTCCTGCCTAGTTCTCTGCTTCCCTCCAATGCCAATGGATGCCGGATCCCTCATTCTCAGCGTTCTGCGGTCGAATGACCGTCGAATTCCCCGTTACGAGGATTGTTTTTGTCGGAAATTTCTCCTTGAGCTGGTCTAGAGAAGTGCCATTGAAGAGAATCTGCAAGATGGACTATATGCGGACAAATATATATAATATATTTCGCAAAAAGGAAGGCCTATTTGCCAGTGACAAGTATTGCGATGATACGATGTATCTCACGCATGGTACAAGTGTGGAATCAGCATGGAACCTGTATCGCCTGTGTTGTATCGTGTAGGAATCTGCCTAAGGAAAGAGGTGAAAATGAAAATCGCAAGCAGAAGTTCAAAACGTTATTTCTCTCTTGAGGTCAATTCAAGAATGAAGTCTAGGTCTCCTCTCAGTCCTGATGAGGGTTCAAAGCTAGATCTGAACATCTTTACTTTTATTTTCTTAATTTTATTCTCAGACAGATTTTTCACGCCGGTGTATTTGTGCGTTCAGTGCAAGGCGACAAAACCAAATGGTCATGATGTCTCGCGTGCCAGTTATAAATTGTAGACCCGTATCCGGCAACCGTGGTGGTCTGGAGACTCCTCATCAGCGGAGTAGCATCTCATGAGTATATGAGACATGAGGGGAAGGAAGTCGAAAGTCTTTCGGCCACTCAATCCCCGAAATGGTCCCCCTTTTCCTCCCTAATGTCCCGCTGCTTCCACTTGGATGAGATACCATTAGGGCATCCGACATCCCTGTTCCCATCAGACTCCGTGAATCGTCTCGCATTTGCATTCCAAACCATTTCAGCCTCCCATTTGGAGACTCTGATTCTCATGCACGGCGAATGTATTACACCCAAATCCCGATATACTTTCTCAGCATGGGTTTGTGTGTATATAAACAACTTCAGTTTCTTTATTCTCATACACATTAGCAGAGATTGCATAGGAGTAGAATGATGTCGTCCATCGCATTTTTTTTCCATTCTCTCGACTAAAGTCGATCAAACATGCTACTACGTATATCATTCAGACGTGACAAAAGAAATCACATTGGCCTTGATTGTTCTAAGGCCTTTTTTTTTTCTTTGTCTAGGAACTTCTATATAAAGAGCGGAGGGAGGAGCAGTGAAATCGATGGCGAGGAAGAGATCCAATCACGTAACGGGGCTATAATGGGGGTTTGATGAGAGTTTTGCATGGGTAGAGCAGCTCTCCCCTCACATGACATACGGCCTGTAGATTGGGTCGGGGAGGGCGGGGAAAGGGAGCGTGGATCTGGGCGCTGATTGGCTGTTGATGTGGGCAGGGGGCGGGGCGGGAAAATTCCCGCCGCGGGTCACCATCACTGCGGTACTGTCCGGTGCAGTGACTGTGGATGTCACTGCCGCCGTCGCGATAGTTCCCACGCCTTCTTCGCGATCTTCTCCTCCTCCCCCTCCTCCTCCTCCTCCTCCTCGCTCTCCTTTCTTCTTTTCTTCCCCTGACTTCCCCTTCGATTCTTGCTGGGCTTTCTTGCTCCTTTTCCACTTCATCCGCCGGTTTTGAAACCAGATTTTCACCTGAATCACGAAACGACAGGGAAACTCAATCAAAACATATTTTGAATACAGGCTTACATTACTGGAAGTGTCTTTTCTAAATGCGCCTCATGGAGTCTGTGACCGTCTGCTGCAGGAGTCCAGCGGGTCGAGCTAAAGTGTAGGCTGCGCTTTTCCGCCTCCGAGGAATTTATTATTATCCCCTCTGCGCTCTGGTGCACAGAGGGGAGGAAAAGAGTCAGAGGGTGGAAGGGAAGCACGAGAACGCTCGTCGAGACCAGGCGGAAACGACTCGAAGAAGTGATCAAGACCAAAGGCGTGCTACTGAACGAGCTACTGAGAGGGCCTTTCCTATTGACCTGGCCTTGCATTCGTATTCAAATGAATGAATTGAAAGTTCTATAGTTCCGCGGAGCTTTGTCGCCTAGTTTAAAAAGAAACACGATTGAATGCTGCGCTGATAGCTTGGCGGGAAGTGAAGGAAGAGGAAACCGGCAGGGCTCATAAATCAGGATGACTGTGGAAAAGCCCTAGGCTTATGGCCTACCGTTCCCATAGTACTGTATATCATCGAATATGGAAGAGAGCCCAAAGAAAATATGAAAGAGCCCTGTAAAACTCCGGGACACCGTCCTCATATGTCATGAACTTTTTTCCCATCCTTTATCTTTAAAGTGTAAGTTGGGGGGTTGTGGCACGTGCCATCTCTTTCCTTCCCCCCACGCTATGCCTAGGCTTTAAAGTATGCCAGCTGCTGGTCCTTCTCGTTTTATAATGAAACACTTAAGCTGTGCGTCACTTTTTGATGGCAGATCTATCAGATCTATCGGGTGCTTCGAAACATCTGATAGAAAGAAAAATATCTTTTCCAGCAAGCACTGAGCGCTCGAGAAGACGACAGGCATAATTTCGAGCACTTCATATCCCCTCCAAGAGATTGAGCAAACACAGTGGGATTAGCACGAATGATGGATCAAACCTCGTGATTCATATTTATGAGAAACTTCATAGTTCGCATCTTCACGTTCAGCAGTTATATCAAAGGCCAGATGTCTGCGGCCTTCTCGAGCGATGCCTTTTTCTTTCCTTAAGCGACTGTAACTCCCGACCGTTTCAACAAATTTTTTCGTTCATGCTTTTGGGTCAGAAAGGCCATCAAGCAAATTAGACAATCCGTGAGGAATCGGTAACGAGAGCGGACCTGGGTTTCGGTGAGCATGAGGGCAGTGGCGACCTCGAACCTCTTGGGCCGGGAAAGGTATTTGTTCTGCTTGAACTGCTTCTCCAACTCCAAGAGCTGCTGAGACGTGAACGCCGTTCGGGGTCTCCTCGTCTTTCCCATCGAACCTCCGCCTGGATACGAAGACACGATAGATAAGCTTCCTTCGTGTATGATAGAACTGTTCAATTTCCACTCTTTCACTTGATGAGTCAGGTTATGGTTACTTGAGGTCGATCCCGGAACACGAACTTTTAATGGGCATCGAATTAGAGTGAAGATGAGTGAAACGAGAGGTTTATTGGGACATGCTATTGTCGACATCGAAGTCGGTCGAGCCTCAAATTCATATTTATCAACTCTCATTTATGCATGATTGAATTCGACGAAGTCAAAATATCCGTAACACGGCGACACCATCCGTGAAACTTTCGTTAAGGCTCTAGGTTGCCCATCTCGCCGACTCCTGAGAAGCTCCCTTCAGTCTCTGAAGACGATATTGAATCTCGAGATCTTCGCGGGCTAGTCAGCTTCGACTCTGTGGAATCCACTTACATCTTGGATCGAAGTCAAACGAGGGTTGGATACGATGCAAGGCGTAGGTGAAACGCAATCCTTTCCGCCATGTTCCAGCCCGATAAAGTACGAGAGAAAGAAGTCGGGCCCACGTATAATCAGCCCCGCCTGTTCCCGCTCTCATCTTTTTCGTAATCAAGAGTTCCATTACGGGGCGAGAGGAGCTATCCCATTAAGGGCGTTGATGGCGCTTCTAAGAAGGCCCTAATTAAATGTCCCCCTCAATATAGGAAGGAGAGACCTCCCATGATCTCCTCCTAAATGGCCCTCGGTCCCGTGTCCAAAGGGAAAATGCTCCTATTGTGGGGTCGTGAATCAGAATTGGATGGAATCGAGGGGAGATCCTTAATCAACTTCGCACAGAGGATTTATGGCGGACGGGGAAGTTCAGATGGGCAGAAAACGAGATCAGCTCCTTTCCAAACAGTTCGCTCGGAAGACATTCAAATGCGATGCAATTCTATTGATGAGGTGCATCTGTCCCCCGATATCGTACGGTGATGACATTGGCAATGAGCTGCTTCGCGTTAACCTAATAGGACGCTGTCACTAATATCATCGGGGATAACAAGGTCAACGACCGCATAGTCTATCCAGGGGATTAATAGCAGGATTAATGATAGGATTATTAACACCTGCCTTGCATGGTTTCGGTCTTTACTGCGATGAAAACTCCAAAAGTAGCATGTAAAAATAAGTTTTGAAGCAATTCAGTCTGCAAACATTTTAGCGTTTCTAAGTATGCTGACATTTTCAGGTAACTGCGAAGGATGCCCGGAAACTTCAATCGGAAAGCTGACACGGGGTACGGAATATCCGGTACAAATTCTGAAATTTGAAGCACCAATCAAAAGATTGAAGTGCCGGTGGGCAAAGTGCCTGAATAAGTTTCCCATTGTAACATTAACATTCAAGTCTCAAACCAAACGGAACTGGAATTTACGACGATAAATATCAGACGTTGCTTCCGACGTCAGCTGCAACCAATCGATTGAAGAATTCGGAGGAAGATCCGTTTTCTTCTTGCTTTTCCAATTTTTCGATTGCTCTGCACGTAAACGTGCGAGGAATTCCCCCCGACTGGCCTTCATCTGAGAATCGCTGTTTCACTATGAACTCAATGAAAAGATTCACCTCTCGTCATGTACTTAGCGGCTCATTTAATTTCCGGGCTTAGTTACTTTCTCAATCGGATATTGCGTTGAGTCGGTAACTAATGAGTCGAGAAAACCTTTCAAACTGGGACCCAAAATTTTGCGTTTTTTCCATGTCGATGATGGGAGAGAGGAGGAATCCCCCCTCTGCCTAGCAGGAATTTCGATCTTTGATAGCAGGGTCGTGCATGACTTTTTCATACTTCATTATGGCTGCATGAATAGCAAGTCAGGGATTAGAAGGAGTGGTAATGAGAATCAGTTGTCGCGTGAAATGAGCCCATATGCCTCTATTGAGCCAAAAACGTTCCAATCTTTTAAAGACACATCTCGTGCACCTGTCTCTCTTTATCCACCCTCTTAATTCCACCACGGTGAAACCGCCGCGAGCGCGTGAAAATCAATCGAGCCTGCAAGTGCGAAAAAAGGGGGGAGAGGGGGTGGATGTGATAGGGCGAAGGGAGACGAAAGAAGGGAGAGCGCAATTAGGCAATTAGGAAGGTACAGAGGAGAGAGAGGGAAAGAGAATGATGTGGACACAAGGAATCATGGCCATCTGTCCCTGTATTTCTCTCCTCTCCTCCCTTTCCCCTCGTTTTTCCGCCCGTCCCTGACTCATCCATTCATACGGATTCACTCCGGGGGCCATCGATAACGGAATATAATTCAGACGACCGGGCGGTATGAATATGAATGACTGATAATCGGTGTAAAGAAGAAATAATATTTTGGAAGAGTCGGGTGAATCTGGGTGGATCTGGTGAATTTGAAAATGAGGTCGATAACCGACGGACCCTTTGGTCGAAATCGGTCCTCCCTTGCTTATAATGAAGTGCTCAGGATCGAGGTTAAAATTTATTATATACCAAGGTGGACTTTTACTTGCTCTGTAAAGCTTCACCGTCGATGCAGAAGAATTAATAAGGGACTTCACGAAGTCGCACGTCTCGAAGCGCGTAAGGTGAGATTTCTCCGAGAGAAAGCATCGGCTTCTCTGCCGTTGGGGAACGAGGCGAGGGGGCAAGGGGGGGGGGGGGGGGGGGGGGGGGGCCCCCCCTTCTCCAAAGAGATTTTCAGCATCGCTGCCCCCCTAATTGATTAAATGCCCCACTTCCTCCCCCTCCCACCATCAGTCTCGATAAGGGATTTTATGTTCGGTGATGGAAGTCCATTCGTTGCGAAGAGATGGATTAAGGGCATCGGACATGGAGAGGATGAAAATTAGCAACATATATCGTGGAGGACCTGACTGCCCGGGAAAGAAAAAAAAAGGGTGGGGAAGGGGAAGGAAGTGGGGCATTTAATCAATTAGGGGGGCAGCGATGCTGAAAATCTCTCCCAACGGAGCCATGAAAGATGATTGCTCGACTCAGACGGGGGACTGTCCCCCCCCCCCACCCCCTCCCCCTCCCCCCCATAGACAGTTCTATAGGCTACCAGCTGCTGCTAGTGGTGGATGAGACGAATTCCTGCGTTTGCGTTTTTCCTGTCTGTCTTCTCCTTTCCGCCACTTTTCCGTTTCTCTTCCTTTCACTTGCGTTTCTTTACTGCCTTCGCTCTAAGTTTCGCGGAACGGCGCAGTAATGTACACAAAATGGAATACCATCGAGCACAAAACCACCGAACCGATAAATCAGGTCGACCTACGATTGGAATCGCCAAGATCAGGAGCATGCTTCTTGGGTGTCCCAGGCACTAAGCTCAAATATTGGTAAGAACTACCAGTGAAGCCCAAGTAAGTATAGGAGTACTTTCATCTTCGCATTATACCAATCTGCCCAAATGAGGTGCGTTGACACTTCTCAGTAAAGGGTGCGTGTTTTGGAATAAACAAGACCGAACAAGTGAAGGAGCCAGGAAGCACTGAGAATTTAATCAAATTGGTGAACCATTGTCTGAGAGAAAAATTTATGGGGTCGGTTTCGTCACGATGGGCTCGTTTGCCGACCGGTGTGCTGTAGGAAACGTAATCATAAGAGATAAAATAGGAAGACAGGATGAAGTACGTTATTTGTCGGTCTCTGTCTCTATGTGTCCGTTAGCTCGAATGTTATAAAGCAGTCGGCGAAACACATTAAGCGACAGTTTTCTCCACGACTAGGGGAAGGAAGGATTTGATTGCGTCTTGTCGGTGATGAGGCGAGGCATCTCTCGGCCAAATGTCATGGCAGAAATGGAACAGCAGACTTTTCACTAAGTCACTCGTTCGACTTGACATTTTCGAGTGAAAACCTCACTTGAGCGGTTAAAAGTAACAAAGAGATAATTATGCCCGATTCATCATTCACTGCCTCGTGGTTTCCGGAATTTTCTTGATCTTCTATCCCACCGAAAGGGTGCAAGCAATCCCTGCTCTCGTTTAGAAAGGAGAGAAAAATCTTTAGATCTCTCTGGAATTAAAGAGAGAGCTAAAGGCAACCAAACGCTCAAAACCTGAAGGAAGAAAAGAGAGCAGTTGCGTATGAGGTCCCGCCCATGCTGGGAAAGAAAGTTGGGATGAAAAAACTCGCGGATGGAGCATCGACAGTGACGTTTACACGCCAAACTTTCTTCTTTCGTTTCTTTTCGGAGGCGTGACTTGACGAATCTTACTTAGTTCTGTGCGTAATGGCTGTGGCCGTCTATACTGTGAAGATCGTGCATCATTTTTGGACGTGGAAATGACGGACGGAAGGCCGGTGTTCCCAGCGAAAAACGGATTTGCAACCACTGCGATCGGAGCTGTTCGCTGCAATCGGTTGCAGCGATGAGTTCGCGTCTCGCACGAATCAGTCAGTGACTGTCGTGTCATCGCTAGGGAATGAGGAAGATCAATTTCCTTCATATTTTCGGCAAGGATTCCCTCGATGATGACGCCATACTTTATCACTTCGTGGGAAAGCCCCCACTACGATAGGCGTGAATTCCGGGCTAAAATGAAAAAAAGAAAGAGAAGATCTCATGCGTGCATGAAACTCATCCTTAACCACGGGTGTGAAGTTATTCTTAGTAATTCAGTTTAGAAAATACTAGAGGGGCCCAAGCCGATGCTACTCTGATTATCCTAGATGCGTCGTTCCCAGGCATTCCGTAGATAGTTTCTTCCCTGGCTTTATCTAAACGAAAGTAGGTTGATGAAATTTAACATGATGTCACATCTATTAATGTAAAAAAACCCAAAGTTTTTTTTTTTTAAAAATATTCTGTGGTTAAGACAAGATCATTCATAACATCGGATTTTAAGATTGGAATTTTCCTCAACCTCTTCGTTGCTATAGGGAGTGACGTGCGACGAAAAGCCAAATGTTTTAAAGAAAATGTTTTATAAGATGCAGCAACGTGTCAACCTAACAATAAGAAGCTGTGCGTGTAGGAGGCCATAGTGGCTCCTGAGCTGTTGGCTGGATACCCATAAGTTTCGGAAGTACTTTACTACGAAGTACTAAAGTACTTCTGGTGCCCTTTCTTCTCCAAGTCACGTGCTTTTACTCGAGTCCAGAAAATTTTTTTGGGTCGTGCGTATGTCAATATATCATATATTGCCCTGACTCTCTCCCCCGCTGATAGAGGAGTCGATCGTCGATTTTTGCCATGTTAATTGGTCTACACAGAGGGACCAAGCCTTCGAGATCTCACGAATCCTCGGAAATGAGGTCACAGAAGGTCAACTCATAGAGTCTTTGGAGAACTGAGCCGGATACTCTCTTCTCTGCCCTGTCATACGCGGAAGCATGCACGCTCGAATCGCTCGGGTTTCAAATAGGTTCTGGTCGAACCCGGCACTGGGTCCATTTGGAGTTCGGCTCCGCCGCTCTGGTTCTGCAACTTGTCGAGTTCTCTCGGAGGCGAAGCGAATTGCACGCCGTCGGAGACGCGAGGAAGACTAGCGCCCATTCGGCTGTTCATTCGTTTTTTTTTTAGGAACTGCTGCGGAATCCACTTTTTTTCGGCTCGTGGGGATTCGAATCGTTGAAGGGAGTTTTGAGGGGAAGAAATAACAAATTCAAAAAGGAAATTTCTCTGATTAGATGCATAAAGAAGGTTTGAAACTTTCATAAATTTTTACTTTACTATCGCTAAAAGTTTACTCTTATTTTGCTCACTTGTTTTCGACGGAAACCTACATGCAGCAAATTCTCGTAAAGTTACGAAAAAAAATGCAGTCATGTATGGGTCGTATTCCCTATTGAAATGAGTTAATCCGATCTACCTCGATCCCCCCCTCGGACTCTCAGCAAGTGTGTCGCCAAAAGGAAGAAAAAAAAATCCGCCTAGTTCAAATCATATTTTTTCATGCTTATTTTCTTTATCGATTGTGCGATTGATGATATCTAAAAAAAATAGTGCAAGTCTAGGTATAAGAGAGATCTCAGATACTAATTCGTTTTTTTTTTTTAAGTGGAGGGGGTAACAAGAGAAAAAGAAAATTCCGGACAAATTCCCCTCGGTGGTTTCTTGAGAATTCTATCTGAGTCAGTTGCGGTCACTCCAGAACCCATTCTCTTCGATGTGACACTTTCACATGGCAGCCCACATTTATAACTGCGCTCGACCTCATTTTTGGCTTCTCTCTCGTTTCTCATTTCTCGATCCCATACTGTGTTCAAGTGTCGATCTCATCTACTTCTGAGGCATGAAGCTTTGCATACGGAGACGAAAGCGAACAGCAAGGCGAATTCACCGACGAGGGAAGCGAGGCAAAAAATTCCCTGGGAGTATGTACCGTAGCACCACCCTTATTATCTATGTCCACAGTGTTGGACAGAGGTTTTATTCATGGGTAGGCCAGGCTCCTTTTTCTTTCTCTTTGGAGTGCATATCCATTCATTGGATGGGGCATGACACGAAGAAGACTGGGGAACATCATATATAATTATGGGTAATTTCATGTAATTAGAGGCCTGTAAGAAACGTTGGCTTTTCACGATACCGCCTTATGCATATTAAAAATTAAATTCGGAACTCGTGCTTCACTAAGCTCTCTAACACCCTCGGTGAAATGCACCCTCGGTGAACACTTCGTGATACAATGCGTCGTTCGCGAACCTCTGGTCTAACGGGATATAAAGTTCCGTCCGCCAGGCCTATCATACGGTGAAAAGGCCCATGGTGTGAAGTGCAAACGAGGGGGTGTTTTAATAATGGGAATGGGGCCTGAATCGGAGGCAGCAGATGTGTAGACAGGAAAGATGCATTGCATGGATTTTTATGAGGCACTAAATGCCCCGAAATTGGACGACCCATTCCCAGCTCGGTTTCACGCTTCTCCCCCCACTCCCCCCCCCCCCTCTCCTCCCCTTCTCTTCTCTGCTTTTCAATCAGACGATTATACTTACCCATATGGCCCGGTTTCCTCCTCCCCCCAACCTCATCTCCGAAGTGAAAAAAGGGCTTTACGTTAGCAGGTCTTTTGCCTTTCCATAAAACTTTGTTGCGCTTTTCGACCTTCATTACTTCAAATTTTCAATTTAGACTAAAAGGGAAAATATGCCAGTAATGTTTTCTGCACATTTATATCTATATCTGCACATTTATAAGCATCTGGTGCTGCTGGTGTGAAACAAACTAGCCAGCCTGGAATTTCACGAAATTCACCTCGTCTCCAAACAACCTATCGAAGATGCGAAACCAGAAGTTGATATTTTGAAACCACTCCAGACACAATCTACAGATCGAAACTTCCTCGAAGAACCGAACCCATATGGCAAAAAAATGGGGGGGGGGGGATAAATGCGAACGAGTTGGACCCGGGGGACCCCGAGGAAGAGCGCGTGCGGGGAAGGCCCCGCATCCACCCCGAGCATTCAAATGGTAATGTAATCCGAGTGGAACCGGCTCCGTCGCATGAATAGGGAATGGGTCCCAATCAGCCTCGATCGTCGTTTCGTGTCCCCTTCTTTAATCGAGCCGTAATTCCGACGAATCGAATCTCTCATCAGGTGGACCTATCGACCATCTGGGGCTTGACACGACTGCAAACACGGGAGTCGAGACGTCTTATTATATGCAAGGTCACGCCGTATTGATTTTGAAAGGAGGCTTCGTGATTCATCGCACCTGTTCCCTATTTGTTATTTGTCTTTCCTCCGTGCCGATTTTCGCCTCCGCCCGTTTCTCCGAGGAAACCGGCGGGAATATCGCGGGTCGTAAATCAAGGCCGGTGGACGATAACGATCCTTAACTTTGTTTCTCGCGATTATGCCGTTCAGAACTTCTGCTCCCACGCTTAGGCACGATATGAGAGCGTTGTCTCGACGCCGGTAGCGACCGCAATATGCGTATCATATTTGAGCAAAAATAATAAATAAAAATAAAATCCATCCTATACGAGCGCTGGTACGTTAAATCGTACATTAACACGATGCATTAATGTACGATCGATTCCAAGTAGTTTGAATAGCTCGAGTCATTTTATGTCCAACAAAGTAATCGTGCAATCAATAACGAATTGGTTTGACGTTTCGGTAAAATAAGTCTAGGAAGGTTGCATAAATAATCAGCTGAATCGGTTATAAAAGTGCTTTAGCCATAAAAGTGCTAATTTAATATTAAGAATTTACTTTTGTGCTGTGAATAAAGGTAAAAGTCGTGAAATTAGACCGACATTGAGTATGAATAGTTAATGGGCTCATGCACGATTTACAGGAGCGCGATGATTGATGAATTAAGGAAACGTTTCAAGTGATTGATGAATTGAGGAAGCGTTTCAAGTGTCGACGGTACATGAAAGCATGAAAGAAGCATGATTCAAGGCTCATTTCCGGATGAATCATCCGGGTCCTGAACGTTTCCTGGGAAATCCGCGAAAAGCAGCTCACAGGAGCAATGAGATCCGTTTATGTGTATATTTGGAGCATATTTGCACCTGGATAAAGATTGTGGGATGGCTTTTTTCCCCAGGGAAACTGTGGGAACACCGACGGGCCAGGTGTCCTCAATCATCCGATATCTCGACAGAAATACTGTAGAGTCCTCATCAACGCAAAATAGGGGAAAGTTCTTATCGAGAACGGAGATTAGGGACGGAGGATCTCATTAAGGAGCAAACTGAAAAGCAGGACTTATAAATCTTTTTTTCTCTCTCTCTTTCTCTCTCCTCTTGATCTTTCCCACATTTGCTGCGTTCCCCGCTCTTCCAAAAACGTTTGCGCAAAACTTTGCACGAAGTAAAAGCACGAGAGTTATTCGCAAGGCGAGATCGTCTTCGTGTGGTGAAAACGATTCTATCGGAGAAGCGACGCCCAACAAGTTATGGTTCAACATCTGTACATGTTAACATATATTACATTTATCAACACTTGTATCAGGTACGATATATCAAAAAAAAAAAGAATTGTTTTTCGTCCATTAGACCCCGTGGCAACGGATAAAAATTTGACTAAACTTTCTGCCGGTATCTGCAAGTATCGCAGATTTTAATTAAAGTTGCAGGTGCTCTTCATTGATCACAATTTAAATGAATTCTGCCGGCGCAAAGCCAGTACCATATCTCTCCACGGAATCGAGAATTACTCGCCGCGAACGAGGAGATTACGACATGGAAAATGCCCTGTGCCCACTTGATAGGCCGACACCTGCAGGGCTTTAGAAGGTGGATTAGGAGATAAGTTCCCCACTTGGCGGCGGTTGTTTTTGCGACGAGATCGACGAGTTTCTAATCACCTTCTTCCCCTTCTTCCCTTATCTGCGGTGTGAAGAGGGCAGACACCGTGGAGGTTGTCGTCCCACTCGACGCTACATGCCACGGCCGAGGCTCTTCGAACTTTTGACGCCACGGTTTATCGTGAGAGTTTTATTATTCGTGTGTGTCTGAGACATGAATAAATGTGGACTTAGTAAACAGGCGTTTTTGGTGTGTTGGATGGGTACGAAAGGCGACAAGGGGGGGAGGGGGGGATTCAATATCGCTATTGGGCTCAGATTTATTTGTTCCATCGGCTTGTACCACTTGGAGTTGCGAGTAAAAACGGTTTCGTTCCACAGATAATCACACACACTGATAATAAAAAAAGGGTGATTCTCTTCCACCAAGGGATGGCCAAAATAATGATAATAATCATGGGTCGGACAATGAACGGGTGGCTGCCACCCATCAATGAAAATTATCGTGCTGAAACATTATTGTAGTGACGAGGATTTGGAATCGGCTTACAGTACGATCCTCAGCGATCACGTGTTGTTCAGAACATTTAGGAGCACTTTTTTCTTGCCCCCGAGTTTCATGCCCGCGTGTGACGGGCGCAATTGCGATTTTCACTCCGTATTTTCTCAAGAACTAAGCGTCACTTTTGAAAGGGGGGCAGCTCGCAATTGACAGTAGCCAGAAGGTTCGCCGTTTTCCCGTGCGATAAACGAACTGCTCAAGACCGAACTGATGGCAGAGGAAGACTGCTTCTACGAACTCGCTTGGAAGAGCATTCCAACTGAGGAGGAATACCTTGACTCCTGGACCTTGAGATTAATAATTACGACCGGGCGCTCTGAATCATTCATTTTTACCTTTCAAAATTCGTACCATTTCAATCCCTACGTCTGTAAATTTGCTTTGCTGCAATAGTTCTCTACTGCATGTGGGTTGTAAAACTTTGAAACAGGGAGAGGTGAAAGCGTCTTTTGTACTCAGGAGAATTTCTGCTTTTTCCCCTTCCCTAGTCGTTGCACCTATGCTGTGTTCTGCCTTGCTTCGGTTATCAAATACAAATGTTTTAGATAATAAGCCTAGTAAGTTTTAAAGCACTCCAATTCCGATCTTCTTTATTTAAGGTTGTAAATTACTCCAATTTCAACTTGAGTGCTCTTCTAGCAGATGGAAGTTTGAACTCTCTCAATGACTACTTACTCTAACAAGTATCAATTTCAAATTCATTCATGAAATTTTTTCTATCGCCGATGCCGCTTAAGTCTGA